CAGGAATATGGACTTACAGAATGTCTCCTGAAATCCTGTTAGATATCTCAGCTCCCTACCCTGGGTGGTGAGACTAGTCCTTGGAAAGCCTCAGGGCCACTGAGAGCTTAGGTACTCCCTCTCACACTCCCTCCCCAAACACGGGCAATTTCCCCTGCCCCCACCAGGTACATTTGCGCTGAGGCCACATGTGGCCTGCTTACGCCGAGATGTAAGCTAGTATATTTACTGAGCAGTCACACACTGCATGACAGCATCGTTCTGGACAGTGGAGGGCCACACGGGGTGCCATGAGACCAAAACAGGCTAACCACTCGGCCAAGGTGTGTACTAGGCCACACCATTCAGGGTTGTGTAAGTGCATTCTGTTGAGTTTGCACAATGATAAAATCAAGTGACAATGCATTCCTCAGATTGCATCCGCCGTTAGCAACAGACTTACTCTTGAGCGCCAACTACGAGCAGTCACTGCTCTAGGCATTCAGGATACAAGAGACACAGTCTCGCTTCTCTGTGGGTCCACCAAAGCTGTGTTTCTCAAAGTGTGGCCCCTGGACCAGCGGAATCAGTATTACCCTGCAAAGGCGTGAAAGTTAAGGTGGCTGGATCCTACATGGTCAACTGCACAGTTCGAGTCCCAGACCTGGCGGCTTGAGAAACACGCCAGGCACATGCCATGTATGCTTCAAATCTGGAGAGCAGAATGGAGGAGAGGGGATTGAGATGTGGTCATCCCCCTGGAGGGTGGTTTCTCAGTTTCCCTCTCTCTCTCCAGCAAGTACACGTGCCCTATGGCAAGAATCTAAAAATAGGGGGGAAATTGAACTACTAAACAAACAAACAAAACAAATCTGGGTTTCACTCCATCCAGACCTGGAGAAACCCCGAGTGGAGCCCAGCAGTCTGGGTTTTAACAAATCTTCCAGGTGGTTCTGAGGACTGAAGGGCTAGAATACGGTTCTCAGTGATGCCAAGTTTTGTGCACACACACACTTGTGGCCATCTCACACCGTCTGAAGACACTTTTCGTTACTGCGGTCGGACAGAGGGTTCTACAGGCTTCTAGGAGACAGGCAGAGGTGTTGTCACATGTTCCGCAATGCACGGGATCTGCCCTCCGCCCCACACCAAAGGGTCACACGGCCCCAAGTTCCACAGCGCCCAGGGGGAGGAACAGGGAGAGATGATGGACGCCATGTCAGTGATGCTCGGGGTCGTCTCAGACGGTGGTCAGCGCTCTGAGTAAGTAACTCAGGCTAAGAAGAGATGAGGTGGTGGTGGTGACGCTGGTGGCCAGAGAGGGCCTCTCTGAGAAGGTGACTGTGGAGCTGAGACCTGAATGGCAAGAGGGACCCGGTCATGGGAAACACGTGTTTGTGCTTTTGGGGGGAGAGGGATATTCTCGGCAAAGGGCGCAGCCAGTGTGAGAGCTTAAAGCAGGCAGGAGCTGGGTGTGCTGAGGGTCACTCACTTATAATCCGTGCCCTTCCTCCCTTCCTCTCTCCCCCTTTCTTTCCTCTTTTTCTTCCTTCCTTCTTATTTCTTTCTCCCATCATTTTTCTCTTTTATCTGCCCCCTTCCTTCCCTCTTCTGTTCCTTCCCTCGCTTCCTCCCCTCAGCAAGTACAAAAGACCTGCTCTGCAGGGATGGAGGTGACCATCCGTTCTCACCTCCTCCTGCGGTTGAGTGAAGAGTAACCGAGGTACTGGGTACAATGCCAGGGCTGACACGGAAGGGCCCCGTGACCCATCTTTTATCCGCCCCTTCCTTCCCTCTTCTGTCCCCTCAGCAAGTACAAAAGACCTGCTCTGCAGGGATGGAGGTGACCATCCGTTCTCACCTCCTCCTGCGGTTGAGTGAAGAGTAACCGAGGTACTGGGTACAATGCCAGGGCTGACACGGAAGGGCCCCGTGACCCAAGGTCAGGCTTGCAGGCTCGAAAGGCAGAAGAGCTGTTCTCCCCATGAGCACATTACAAGCCCCTTAGCACCCCCAGTGGCAAAGAAAGATGTCCACAAACTTGCAGGCCTGCTGGCTCAGCGTACATAGCACCTTCTGAAAATTCAAACCTATTTTCAAAGATCAGAAGCAGCCACCTAAAAAATCTGTATCTCTAGGTCCTCAGGAGAGTCAGAGGTGGTGGCAAGGGCCTGAGCGTCCACATGGCAGGCTCTGAGTGGTAGCCACTTAGAGAGGGGCCATGCCTTCCTGCTCCCCGCCCACTGGTCCCAGGCCTCCTGCCTCTGCTTGACCCCAGCGACCAGGATTTTGCAAGCCCTGAATGAACTGGCCTCTGAGCTGCCTGCTGCGCTGACACCCTAGTGATTTCTGCCCACGAGCGCAGCCGTCATGATTCCTGGTATCCTGCTGAGCCCAGTGCAGTTCCGGGAACACAGTGGGTGCGCTGCAAATATTCGGTTCCCACCCTCCCGGCTGCTGGTGACCTCAGCTGTCCTGTAGCACAGGAGCTCGAGATGCGTCCTGGAGGGTGTGCCTCTGCTCTCTGCAGGCCTGTCCCCACGTGGCCGCTGCCTCAGGAACAGACTTGATTCAGCTGGGGGCGGGTCTCAGTAAACCTCCAGTCACTGTGGAGGATTCGCTCTGACCGGTTCTAAATTGGCACCCCGCTCTCTTACCCAACAGAACCACGCTTCACC